ACGACGACGACGACGACCACCACTTCTACTGTTCCTGCTGCTGCGACGATGCCTACCTACCTACCTGGACACCTACCTTCCCTACCTACCCACACTACCCACCGCCCACCCCTCCCTCTCTGACACCCCTCTCTTCCACCCCTCTCTTCCTCGCTGCCTCCTGCCTGTCTGCCTACCTGCCTGCGAGCTCTGGAGAAATCAGGCGTAGATTCACTTTCTTTCAAACCCTGCACTCGTTGCGGATTCAGACTTGGGGTTGAGGCTTAGTTCGTTGGGTGGGGAGCCCAGTCTTGACGAGCCGCAGCTGTGTCGAAGCAGGGGCGAATGATGCGTCCGCATCTTTCCAATGGACATGTACAGCCTTGGCGCAGTGCCAATGACCAAAAAGAATGGGGTGGGGAACCGTACCAATCGAAGACGCAAAGGATGTAATGTACTAGCTTCTTCTGTCGCAGCAGATGTGGGCTGCAGGCAGCAGGACAGACGGATGTGGGAGTTCACGCTGAAAGTTTGGGCCCGGGCACCTAAGACAGAAGAATGATTCAACTTAATGACTTAAGGCTCAAGCTTTGCAGCCTCTATTGCGCTTCGAGATTGAATCTTCCTGGCCTTACATTCCAGCACTGTTAACCCTTGCACCCTAGAGGTTCCCATGCAAGAGCCAGCCTACTATGATACCCAAAACTGAGAGGGAAGACCAAACTCTTGGACCCGGGCAGTACGAACAGAATGCACATGAGGAGCCAGCAGCAGGCCTGGGTGCATAATGACGCGGAATTCATAATTGTGGAGATTGGGTTCTGGGCAATTATACAGTTTGTCCTAAGCATGGACCCTGATCGAGCATGTTTCAAGCTAAGCTCTTTGTTGCGTCGGAGAAAGCCCAGACCTGGTTCATGGCGCTTCTGGGGCCTTCTGGGTGTATTAGGGGTCCTCCACATCTCTGGTATTCTAGGCCTTAGGGGCTTGATGGATATCCTCCGTTGCTTTCTCGAAGCTGGCTCCGTGGTTTGAGATAGACATGGAATAAACCCTAAATCCCGAAACCTAGCGGTCCAAATCCCCTGACAGTAACCTTCCAAATCCAAACTCGAATCTCCGGGAGCTTCGGGACACCGGGCGCAGTATGCAAGCGCCAGACCTGCTCTCCGGTTGGTTTAGGGTTTAGGGGGCTGCGGACCCGCTTCTTACTGGCATGAGTCTGAGGTCTGAGGCGTGTCAGCTTTGAAGCGTTACAGACTGGGGCCGGTCGGCTTTAAGATTTCAAGATGTGTTCAAGCTGTACATCGCTGCCACATTCAAATTTCATGTTTTTGCCGAGGGTTTTGGGGCCTGTGATCGCGGGACAAGCCTCACAGCCCTGTATCCGTAAAAATCTCTGAATCAGACGCACTCATATGAACGCAACGTCGGACAAGAACTCAGTTCGGAAACCGCAAACCTTGAGGCCCAAAGAAGCTGTCGACTGAATACAAGCACCACAAATGAAGCTTGGTTTGCATTTCACCCGCTACGATCCACAAGCAAACTATGAAAAACAAAGACATACACAAGCGAGTATACATACATACATACATACAT